AAAACAATGGCGCCAAGACAAAAAACACTGATAAATGAGCGACATCAACGGGGGAAAAAAAACACATGCACTTTTGGCGATCGAAGGGAAACACGGAATAAGTCGGGATATCTCGACAACAAACAGCATACCAAACCCCATGTTTCGCAAACTTTCGCAACCTTATTTTTTCGAGGGTTGGAAAAAACAAGAAATAATCTAAAAACGACATTGAAAATTATGAAAACTCGCTAAAACTCTGACCCGTTGCATGATATCCTGTACACTGAAGGTCACTCTGCAGACCGACTTGTTTGCGCATGCGTAATGAACGAAATATTTCACTGCGCAGATATGAAATATTTTTTTCAAGTTTTTCGTTTCCAGCAAAGCGGTTGATACGGGCGTATCGGCGGCAACTAACATGGAGTATGACTAATGTTGTGGAAACAAAAGCGAAAGCACTGTAAGATAAACTAAGACAAAGGTTTTTTTAATCCTCTTAGTTTCGTTGTTCTTCCTGGGGTTTATAGTTCCATGGTTTGTTTCATAATCAGATCAAAGATGGCCGAATAACGGCTGTTTTTATTTTTGACCATATTACTATATCTCTGTCACCCATGTATCATTTTCATTGATATTTAATGTCATAAATGGATACATGTACTTGTCAATTCAATTTGCAATTTGATCAAATATGGCCGACTGGCGGCCATCTTGTTTGTTTAAAATGTGATAACTTCGACATGCTTTCACTTGTGATCTATTTCTTTCTTTGCTATGTCTTAAACTGGAGGGGTCGTCGCGCAACACATCTGTTGTATACGCCACTAGGGACTCAAGTTTCAAGGACATGCTCGCAACAACCCCTTCGCTTTAATATGACGAGCACAAAGAGAACTTTCAAAAATTTAACAGGGATTGTGTAATTTTTCAATGACTTGTTGTTAATAAGTCTTTCACAATTATATTACAACTTTCATATTGCACAGTATACATCCTGACTAATATTTTTTGCACATAGTTTCCTTAATTAACAATTTTTTTAAGTGCTGAGATCTCAAAGGAAATCAACAATACAGACCATGAAATTAATGTAACATACCAGAAAATAAACAATTATAGAGAGAAGTACTCATCATTGCATCAACAACACCAACAAATAGAACAGGTATGTATGTTCATTGATAAAAGTACAAGTCTGAATGGATTTAGCTATAGTCACAAAAATGCATGATTACAATACAGGCAATCAGGACAACTGTTGACATATCACCCTAGATGAAAGGCAAGGTATATGGGGGGGGGGGGGGGCTATGTCTGTCTATAGTGTTGTCACCAATAACACTAGTGGTTACAATAACTCAAATAGTTGTTATCCAATTTCTTTCAAACTTGGATGTTATACCAGTTTGGATCCAGCAAGTTCAATTGTGGTACATGTTCTATGTATATTTTTCAAGATATTCATTAAATTTGGTGTAACTAGTAAGTGCAATTTTTAATATATGGGGTAAAATTTGACTGAAATAACACATTTTTGACATAGAAATAAGTGAAGACATTTAAAAACTACATGTTACTAGTATGCTCTCCAAGATCTGTCAATTAGATAAGTTTGGTAAACTGATATGATAAGTGACAGGTGCAGTGTTTCAAATCTTCTACTATTATTGGAAACTTTTTTTACAATTCATGCTATATTTTTTAAGCTGCATTGAGATTAGAATATGTACTATTGCTTGAAGAACATGAATATAATCTTGATTTATTTAATTTCCATGCAAAATGCTTAGATATTATATTATTGCATTGTTTCATAACTTTTATACTCACTTTTACCATGAAAAGAAAAGATTTTGCATTGTTAGTTTGTTATCCATTCATACATTTGTAATTTAATCTAGGTTCTCGATGGAAAAGTTGTAATAGTTACGTTTTGTTTGTTATGCAGGCTTTATACAAATTATTTTTTTCAAGAAAATGGATGGTGATGCATTTAAATTTATCGCATCATGATTATCTACAGTCTTTACAGATTTACAGAACTTAGGGTAATCAATAAGAGTTGTGCAAACTCTTTATAGATTTCTTGGTATAACTATGTACCTGTAGGTCTTTTCTGCAGTTGAGTGGAAGAAAATAATTGTACATGTAAATATCTGCAGAATTGTGTAACACAAAAATAATGTTTATATATTAATTTATAGGCATATGAAATTGAACAAGAAAAGATACAGAAACAACAAATTGAAAATGCCCATACTATGACCAAACCAGCAGTTTCAGAACAGAGGTACAGTAGTTGATTATCCACTCACTGTTGTTTTTTTCATTTGAAATACACCCTTTACAGGCCATAATTAGATGAATTTTTGAATTTCATAGTAACTTATACTTATTAACAATGAATATAATGTTTCCCATATTGTGATTATTATAATTAGGGTTTATTCTGATGTACCTGCTCTGCCTTGAAAATAAAAAAACATGAGAATACATAATGAGATCGTGAAATGATGTACTGTAAAATACTGTATTTTCGCTTGGAATTAATTTTCGCTATTTTCGCTGGAATGATTCAGTGAAAATAAAATCCAGCAAATATACTTTTTTCCCTATATTTTACATTCAATTCGTCAAAAATCAGTGAAAATAAACTCCATACAAAACACCTAAAAAGTCTTTTCAGCGAAAATTTATTCCAACTATTAAAAATAAAGTATTTCACAGTATGTGTTAAAGGTGATGGTGACTGCAATGTATATATGCAAGATGTAGGTCTCATATTAACAAAGATGGAGACTTTGAATTTTGTGCAGATCAAGTGGTACAAAAATGAGCTTACCAAGATTTAACTATATAATTAATTCCTGGGATGATTGGAATCCATCAAAGCATAACAAAATGTACTCTTATTGCAGTGAAATTGAATGTATTAGAGTTGAAGAACAGGGTTATAGTCAAGAATGTAGAAACAATACTAGTAGTGGTAACATCCAAGATATAGAATCACAAAAAAGTCAAAACAGTGAGGTCAATCAGGTAGTCAGGTCAATGGTAACACCAACTACCCCAACAAACATGCCACAGATACATAGTCCGGAAACTTGTGTCTCTAAACAACCTGTTGTAAGAAGTAGTGCCAGTCAGGTACACAGTATTCAACATTACCTACAGGTATAAACTGTTACTGTAAAATCTGTATTAAAAGCCGCGGCTTCTAATAAAATGATACAATGCAACAGAGGGGATGTGGCTTCTATTAGAGCATCTACACATATGAGAAATGCCGAATTTTTAGGTCTCAATTGTTCAAAAAAAATGGGTGCGGCTTCTATTAGGAATGTGGCTTCTAATACAGATTTTACGGTACTTACCCACAATGCACTAACACATAGAGAATAAAAATTACTTTTAATCATGCAATCCATTAACTATAATTTTTGAAGCCTAATAACCAATCTTAGTATAATATAAAGTTATAATGAGAATATGATCACATAGTATGCAAGATGACAGAATATATTTACAAATGCATGAATTACAACCACTGCTGTCTGAATACATGTACATACTATACGGCAGTTGTGCTTCTTTTAAGTAAAGTGATGAGGTGCAAATATATGCAAATCATGAATGACTCACAACTTGCAACATTGTGCATCTTTGGATCAGTTTGATACGTGCACAATGTCACATTTTCGTTTTCATTGATTTTTTCTTGAATGTATTCTCCATTGTTAGTTGCTGATAGTTTTGTTTGTCAAAACGGGGAGGTGTCACAAATATAAAACGTGTAATTTTTTACAAAAAAGCATTCACCCATATGCTTTTGTGTTATTAGCATGCGTTGTTATCATTGCTTAGAACTCAATTCCTGTCTGTGTAAAGGTGACAACCGCTAAAATGACTTTGTTCACATGAGAAGTACAATGGAGGTACAGTAATACTGCTGATTACAGCAAGTATACATGTATATAGTCATTCAATTTGCAGAAAAAAACACAGTTAAATAGATGTGTGGCATGTTTTTATTCTTAGAGACCTATTCCCAAGGAATCACCAAAACATATGATTACTATTCCACAATTACATATGCCTAGCATCGGAATCAGAAATCCTCAGCATGTTCCTTCACAACAGCAGCATGTACAAAGACCTCAGTCAACCCAACTCTTGAAGCATATTCAACATCAACAAATTCAACGTAAATTGGAAGTTGCACAGGTATGAATCATGAGCCTATTTATTTTATTTTTTTTTATTATATAATATACATGTGACACATTAAAACTGAAAATAAGAAATTACTCTGCAATGGTACATGACCAGTTTTTGAAATTACTGCCCACCCTCTGGTAAAAAATTAAAACTTACATGCAAGGTAATATTTGTTCATGGTCTTCTTCAATACAATTTTTGAAAATGCAATTTTGCTAAATAATAATATTGGAAAAGCCGTTCTCCTTTGATGGCTGATAAAGAGATTGTGAAACAAAGAAAATAAGAACATAACAATTCAAAATGGGAAGTTTAAATTACCCATCGTGTATATCAGCAGAATGTTGAGTTTCTGTGATGCTAAAGGTTCAAAGTGAACTTGAAAAACATGCATAAATGTATCTTGCCAAGCATTGGAAGAATGAAGACTCATCTTACAAAAATGCCTGATACATGCATGATCTCTAGCAAGCCTGGATCATAATTGAATTATATAACCCGTTATTTGATTAATAATCAATAAATTAAAACAAATAGTGGTAATGACAGGAAGTGGCGACATAAATTCATAGTTATAGTGACGTTTAGTATGAAATATCACTATATAAACAGTTAAACTGATATTTTACACTAAACAATATTTACGTTAAAGAAATTAACTCAGAAAGTGAGTGAATCATCAACAGTTGGTTGCTACATGTACATTTAAGGACTGTGAATAATTAAAACATGTGCCTAGCAAGCATATTCTCTTTGTTTAATATTTAACTCTCCTCCCATCCCTTAAACGAAGTGGAAATAAAATGGAACAAACATTAAAAAACAACTTGTGATGTTTGTGCACAGTAATTGAAGTCCCATCCTCTCCTAAACAAAAAGATTGTGTTTGCTTTGTGCATGTTTTAATCAATCCATGGCACCGTATTAAAGGGATTTTCTATGTGTTAGCTCATGGAACGACATTGATCAAACAGTCTGTTTTTGTTTTGTAATATTCTATCATTAATGCTTTAAATAAATCAGATGAACATATTTTAAAGTAAAACCTAGTTTGATCCAGTTAGGTATTAACAAAGTGGGACACGATTATAATTTTTGAATAAAGAGGATAATTGTTTTTACTTGTTCATGTTTTTTCTTGCTTAAACTTTGTTAGACAGACATATTTGAGATGCCTATTCATGTATTAAATTGATATTTATGTATAGATGAATCAACAACATGCACAACAAGGTAGAACACAGTTAGAAATAAACCAGCAGAAGCGCAGTGACCAAACACAACCAAGGGATGAAATGTACTCTGGTGTACACCAAGAAAGCTCAAGTGATATGATAGCTAACTCACAGACAGAAACCCAATCTAGTGATAATACAACATCACAATATCACCATGAAATGAGAGGTAATATATATATCTTCGACTTTTATTACCAGATGAAGATGTTTTGCTGGACAATAGTTCAGTTTTTATTGTGTATTACCAATAAATACTTGTGCTCAATGGTTCTTGCTATCTAGAAATATTATGTTAATGGGTTTGATGATTTGACTATAGTGTGGTACACTATGGTACTGTAAAATACTTTATTTTCGCTTGGAATTGATTTTCACTATTTTCGCCGAAGGAATGATTCAGTGAAAATAAATTCCATAGAGAGCACCCAATAAGTCTTTTCAGCGAAATTTAATTTTAGCTAAAATAAAGTATTTTACAGTAACTCATCTTGGTAATGTGTGATCCTCATATATTACTCAGTAGAATTCCCCAAAACACCAGAACATATAAATGGATCTTCATCAGCTAACACCCCGAGCTCCTCATCACCTACTTGTAGTGAAGGCAGTCCATTCACCATGGAAATATTTAAAAACACATTGCGTAAATCACCAGGATTTCAATATGCCAGTAGATCAATGTTTACATCAAATCAAGTAAGTCTACATCGATTAATATAATATACATATATACGGTATTAGTTCTTAAGTATTAATAGTTGTGAAAAACAGATTTTGCAATAATGTGAATTCGCTTTGAATTGCTCGTGCTACATTAATTTTTTTGTCAGTATTAGTAAAAAGCATGCAATGTAACTTACATGTATAATTGCTGTTATAAATATCTGTGTACATATTATTAGTCTCCGCTCGGACGTGCGTCTGTCCCTCCGTGCGTCTGTGCGGAGTCATATCTCAGAATCCTTTGGACCGATTCCGTTCATTCTTTGCATGTGCCTAGTACTTTATGTGGGACATATGCACATGCAGTGGTTTAGCGATTTGATTCAAAATGGCCGACTGGCAGCCATCTTATTTTTTGAAAATGTTGTATTTTGGACATGCTTTATCAGTTTTCATTCAAACTTGGTACATAGATTAAACATGTTAGGATACATGTTCATGACGATTTATTTCACAATTGGATCAAAGATGGTCGACTAGCAGCCATCTTGTTTTTTGAAAATGTTGTATTTTGAACATGCTTTGTCAGTTTTCATTCAAATTTAGTACATAGATCATACATGTTAGGATACATGTCCCCAACCGTCCATGAGTTCCTGAGTCTGTCCATCCGTCCATGTGTCCGCCCGTCCCTCAGTCTGTCATATTTCAAAATCCTGTAGACCGATTCCGTTCATTCTTAGCATGTGCCTAGTACCTTATGTGGGACATGTGCACATGCAGTGGTTTAGCATTTCGATTCAAAATGGCCGACTGGCAGCCATCTTGTTTTTTGAAAATGTTGTATTTTGGACATGGTTTGTCAGTTGTCATTCAAACTTGGTACATAGATTATACATGTTAGGATACATGTCCATGACGATTTATTTCGCAATTGGATCAAAGATGGATGACTGGCAGGCATTTTGTTTTCAGTTTTCATTCAAATTTGGCACATACATGTACTTTATACATGTTAGGATGCATGTCCATGACAATTTGTTTCAAAATCTGGTCAAGGATGGCCGATTGACAGCCATCTGACTTTTTGGCCTTACTACTATATTTCCACAATTTATGTACCATTTTCATTTGTATTTGGCACATACATCATACATATCAGTGTGTTTCATAATCAGATCAAAGATGGCAGAATAACGGCTATTTTTATTTTTGGCCATATTACTACTACATGTACACGGAACACGTGTTTTGATGTAAATAAACAATCTGTTGTATACGCCACTTGGAACTCAAGTTTCAAGGACACGCTCGTGACAACCCCTTCGCTTTAATATGACGAGCACAAAGAGAACTTAATTTAACGAGGACTGTGTCATTTTCAATGTGGTCAAAAAGTAAATTTACTGATACATGTTTATTCCCAGGTGAATTGGTCAAAGCCCAATAATTTAGCCCAAAAATTTCATTTTATAATATAGATACCAAATTCGACACAAGAGACTGATAATAATTCTGGTGGTATAGAATCTCCATTCTTCCATTCATTCTCAGGAGGGGTAAGTAGTCTGTATTATAATTAAAATACAAACAATTGGCTCTATGTATTTCATAGATCCTAGATCCTAGGTAGTAGTGTACATAGATCTCAAGAATGTATAACCTGTGTGCAGATCTGTGTACAATCATACTCTGATCTACACTTGTTGTGCATGGGCTAGATTGTTGCCTAATCTAAGAACTGCCAAATTTTTAATAATTGATAATTTCATTAATGATATTTCATATACCGGTACTTTGTATTGCCCGGCATCGTAACGCTATGGAAATTGCGCCCTCACATCAGGGCAATAATTTCCTGTACTACGCCTGGCCCAGTGCACCTGGATTTCGTCATTCAAAACAAAACAGGTCATTCTAAATAACTTCACTTTTTTGAGGCCATGCATGGTAAAATTGTAATTACACCTGTAAAATATACGATAAAACTGTTATGGACTGGATACGGCTTTTGCTCCTTATGAGTTTCTTGCATGTTGTACAGTAATTAAGATTACAAATAATCGGTAGTCGAGTTGGTTTTATTTGTCCCTTGAACATATGCTTGAGCTGTAAACAAAAAAAAATGGGTATGAAGACGATATTAATAGGACTTGAACTTACAATGGCAATTAACTTGATACACTGTTTTTATATGCTAAAGCCATTTTATAAATTTGATCCTTGGTAGATGTGTGCTTTTTAATTCTAAAGTAAGGTTCTACAATATATACATGAACAACTAAACTGGTGACCATTTTAGTACCAAAAAACATTTGAACATGTCAATCATTTTTCAGGCATTGTGGATTTTATTCAAACTTGGTACTTATGATGGTTTTGATGCACGTCTGCATTATAATTTACTTCAAAATGTTGACAGGTGATCATGTTTTATTTCTCATACAGATTTTGTTCAAGATAGTTCTGTACTTAGTGGGTAATACATTAACATGCTACTTACTCCTGCAACATTTAATCATAATCTACATCTGACACAGTAACTAAATACTGAATGGGGACTATGTCATTGACAATGACTTAGTTAGTTCCTGTCCATTTGGCTGTTCATCCGGAGTCATATTTCAGAACATTGTGGACCAAATCTGTTCATTCTTTGCATGTGCCTAGTACTTTTTTTGGGACATATGCACATGCAGTGGTTTTTATACTTATTCAATCCAAGATGCTGACTGGCAGCCATTTTGTTTTTTGAAAATGTGGTATCTCAGGGATTTTTCTAGAAAAAGGGAGCACCGCAATTCGGCAGCGTCACCATGAGGGGGAGATAGGGTTCTCCCTACCAGGGTGTGGAGTTAAAATGGAGCATTCTATGGTTTCCTTGGGGCCAAATTTACGATCAATCAGACAGGTCACAGTTGAAGACTGTGGCCACATGTGATCCCTGGTCAATCAGAATTTTATGGTTGCCAGAGGATCTGCTCCCCAGGGAAAGGGGCGCATGGCCATGGCATGAGGGCGCTGCACCCCTGTTCCCTCGTTTTAAAAAATCCTTGTATCTTATGCATGCTTTATCAGTTTGTGTTCAAATTTGGTACATACATTGTACATTTTATATTACATGTCAGTTTGTTTCATAATCAGATGGCTGACTGGCATCCCTCGAAAATGTGGTATCTTGGACAGGATTTGTTGATTTTTCAAATTTGATACAAACATACATGTTGAGATACATGTCCATGATGATTTGTTTCGTGTTTCATATTTCTGTACATTAGCCTGGACGCATGAATATCATATTAACTATGATAACTATTAATAACTATGCTGTTTGTGCATATTACTTTATTTCTGGCATGAATAACATTTCCCCTAATTTTAATGGGGACTATGTCATTAACAATGACTTGTTATTTATAGACTTTAACAGGAGCTGCAACATCAAATACAGAGTCAAGAGATGATAACAGATGTGAATTACAATTCAGTAATCTATCTGACAGTGAGTTTACATTCATTTTTTTAACAACTTACTTTCCAAAGGTATCTGAAACTAAGTAGTTACCCTTGTGACCTAATATTGCTATTTTACAATGATTATTCTACTGGAAAGAATGAAATGTCATGTTTTTGTTGAGTAAAATGTAGTACAACACTGCAAAAAACAAGACAAGATATTTTTACTTAAAGGTACATGTACCGGCCAACAGATTAGTAGCAACGGGAGGTCTCAGAGTGCTACTAACATGTTCAGCTCTTCAAACAGCAGTGAATCCTCCAATATAGGTCAGTGCCTGCATATTACTTCACTAGATGTAAAATTTCAATCTATCCCTGAGGGGAATTTGTGTATTTCTGAGCTTCTGTAACAATGCAAGACCATTCTTTATTTTATATTTTATTGTGGAACACAAGAGGGTAATTTAGGGTTGGAGTGAAATGATATGTTTTTCCTAATATTTGGACATGCATGGAGCAATATTTTTCAAACTTTGTGCTATGGCAAATTATCATGGAATAGGTATTCTACTGAGATTTTGATATGGTCAATGCACTCCTAGACAATATTTTTTGGCACAATATGGTCTTTTTCGTTTAAAAAATTATGTTTTTCCTGTTATTTAAGCATATATTTAGTTCCAACCTTTTACAAAGGCAAATTTATAATGAACTCTACCGTCATTTTACAGTGGTCTATGCACTTTTGGGTAGATCATTGTACTTGCACTGGTTACTTGATGATTGTAATTCAAATCAGTTTGAGAATGACCGTCACTCTGTTGTACCTGGTAACTTTTTTTTTATTGACATCATATGCAAAGTAGATAAATCCCTTCAATGTTGTGTAGTCATCAGCAACATCCAGAAATTCCTGTACATGTTCATCCAGCACAATCAAGCTTTCTGATTAGTTGATAATCAGGTCACAGTTTCAACTCGTGCATAGAAAAAAACAGAGGATATTATTTCGCATCAAATGATCTGGCCTGCCTTCTATTTCTAGTCGCTTTGGAATGTCTAACATTTGTGCCAAACTTCAGAAAATGTACCGTAATGTTTTTGTTTTTTTAAATTGAAGGTACTTTGTTTGGACACAGTGAGCAACAACCAAATCACAACAGCAGCAGTACTGGAGGATTCTCAATGTTTGGTTTCAATAATAGTAACGCAGATGAAGGAAGCACTGGATTTAGTTTTAACTTTGGTGGTGCAGGAAACTCACCTGAGAATTCAAGTGGAGGTTTCAGTTTATTTCAATAATTGTAACAATTCCTGGTTCTCCTGTACAAGTTACTCTAAGTCTCCACCATTGGTGCAAAGACCTTTATATTTATTCACCATTTAAAATGTTAGAGTTTGAATTTTGGAAATGTGTTCTTCCTTAACTTTGTTCTTGGGAAAATACAGGATGAATAATATGAATAATTTATTTAATATTTATTATCACAATTGTAAATACCCCGGTACATGTTACACCTTACAATTTGTTATATATTACAAATAGTTTCATTTAGAATTTACTCACTTTAGTGCTATAACAAACAGTTGGTTCAGTTGTGTTTTATTTCTTGTTCAGAATAAATTTCTCATCAAACAAGTTCAATAATTAACCAGTGATGTACGAAGTTGTTTTGAAGACTTGCAGAATAAATCAATATGGCATTGACCACTTCTTCGGAAGGCATGGTAGGTCTGGGCTGAGACTTAGCAGAAAAAAAATGGGAAAAAATATGCTTTGCTTAGCAAACGCATTTGTTTTCTATCGGTTCTTAAATGGTCTTTGACTTTTCTTTTTTTTGACTATTGCTCTGTTCTGGGAACATTTTGCTATGCAAGGCTCCATAAGAATACAAGGTTATCAGCCGACCAATTGTGGAGGTTCTACTGCCACAGTGCATATTTTGGGGTGTTCTCTAGATAACCTGATGTAGAAATATTTTAATGATTGGGGCTATCCCCAAATAGAAACTTTGGGATTTTGGAAGAGTGCAAATACAGCTTTTCATGCAGCAGCAAATTTCATTTTTTCAGTGTTAGATGTACAAATGTTTATACTTTACAGGTTTCAATCACCGTTATCAACTTGTCAGCAATTCATCAAAAAACATTTCTGCCATTCCATAACCATACATTTACATCACCAGATTTAGTTCAAACTTTGTACACACTAACATTATGCAAGCTTTATGCATACCATTTCATATTGATTTGAAATTGGCAGGCAGTCTTGACCAAGACAGTTGATTTGTTTAGGCATTCCCCCAAAACATGCGCCATACTTAATGAGCAGACTGGATTGTGGCCTCATTTCATGAGACGTACTTTAGTGTAGCTGTGATGTAAGCATGAGATACAATGTACACTTCTCTGATGTCAACTACACCCGAGGCTAAAAAGGATAAAATACACACAAACGTAATATTTCAACACACTTGTTTATGTATTGATTTAAATACAATAAATCACATGTCTAGAAGTTGTTAGAAAAAGGAATGCTGACTCAGTAGTAGACTTGGGGCGATTATTTTCAGAAAAAAACAGCTGGTTGCCCTGAATGAAGTAGAGTACACATAAATACCCATTACAGAAGGTTTTTTCTATTTAAATAATTCCAATGTAAGTTATGAGATTCTGACATTGTGGCTGTCACACATGTTGAACAAAATAAATACAGTCCTCGATACTAGTCTAGTTACAAACAAATTAAGTGATCTTGCTTCATGCTACTACTGTTATTTAAAAATATCCTGATTAATATGTACCACTGCTGTCACCAACTGCATAGACAAATTGGAGAACAATCAGTGGAAAGAAAACACTCAACATTAATACTATACAAACGAGTTACTGCACAGCAAGTACTTCAGATCTTGTTCAGTAAGAAACAACCACAACTTCTGGATTGTACAGGTAACCTGTCCCACTGAAGGTACAAAAAAAGGCCTCAATTTTTGTTAAGTGGTTACAGCAATCGTATACTGTCAACTACATTGATGTACTTCAATTTTACGAGTCTGAAAATCAAATTTCATGGCAATGAACAATTCACTGGGTCCTAAAAACTTCATGAAAATTTTGTCCTCATTTCAAACTATGAAATTAGAGAATTTCTAAAATTCCTAAAACAAAAATTAAACAGTTTAAAATTTATCCATGAAGCACTACAAAGTAGAACAGTATGTATGAATTCCCTGTCTTTTACAAAAAAAATAATATTGGACGGACATCACACATATCTGGGATAAATGTTCTATACCACAATTATTGTACTAGTGTGGTGTTAAACAGCATTATTACAAATTGATTGTAAATTTAGTACAAGGGTTAGATAAAACACTACAAGTGGGGGTGGGTGGGAATACTAAAACCCCCCTCCTCATCAAGAAACAAATACATGTTTGATCTTACTAATTTCACGTTTGTCCGATTAGTGAAAACAACAAAACAAAAATTCTTTCAATATTTACATTAATACTGAATCTCTGTACACATATCGAATGGAAAAATGGCACAATAGAACTAGCTTTTTGTCTTGATATGCAACAAGCTCTGATTTTATAAAAATAATATTTTAATCTTCGGTTGTTACTGTTTGTATGCTCTTCCTTTTTTGCTAGGTCCTGTTGGTCTTGGTGGTATATGCTCTCTTGATTGTGTTGGCTGGCTGTGATGTGTTCGCTCACTAGTATACCTCAGTGGGGAACGATCTCTCGAACTGCAAGAAAAAGTTTAAATAATAAACTACAAATCTTTTAGTTAACACACAGTGGCAGCAGCTTAACCTAGAAAGCCCATCTGCAGTGCTTTTCTTTATGTACAGAGCTAAAATGGCATGGATACAGCTTGATTAGGATTTGCTCTACTATACCTATTTTCTCTTCCTTCGGTGATTGCCGCATATTGATTTCTTGGTCTATCATTACGATGATGTCCACCATATCCATTAGTGACAGACCGATTTGATCTACTTGCATATGCTTTATCTCTCCACTCATTATTAAATTGTGGTGCTTCATCTAGAGAAAGAGATGATACCTCATTGAGTGTGATATGCTTAATAAGTAAACCCCCATCCAAAAGGTTATTTTCCCGTTCACTGCAGGATCTTGCATATTTCATGAATCGCGCAGACTGAGAGTTTGCCACAAAAATCTAATGATTTGTTTTTTAAACTTGAATTTCTTTTTTCATAGCTCAATGTCAAGATGCTTATCTTTCAGGAGGGAATATAGACGCAAGATAACCTTAAAATTCACCATCATCAAATGTGTATAGTACATTGCTAAGCATGAAAGTACGTTTATATAATTTTGTATTTGAATCCCACTACAACGTTATACCCTTGTACTGTTTCGTTCAATTTTATCTATTAGTGGGATCTCTTGGTAAACGAAAATAGCCTATTTGGACAGGATTTACAGTAAAACGCATCTTTTATAGGTAGCATGTTATTCTAAATGATTTTTTTTCATTTATTTTTCTTTTGCTATAACAATTGTTTTGTTTTTAACATTTGAACTTAACCCCCTGGTGGAAATGAATTGCAATATGGACTGAAACAATACTCACTTGTATGCACTGTTACCCTAGTTTTACCTAGTATTCCCAAAAGCTATAAAACCACCTCTCACCTAGAATTAAACTTGACTGATTGTATAGAACTCACCTTCATCTAGGTTAAGAAATTCCTGGTGTTCCTCTTCTTCTCTTGTGCGTCTATTTCTTGATTTTTCTACAATGTGACCTCTTTCACCTACATGTGAAAAAATCCATCAGTTTTATTTTAGTATCTTTTAAGCTACGTGATATAGCTTGATTACATACATAAGATTAACATATCTAAGAACTTCAACAAAACTTTTTGTGAAACCTGTCTATACCTAACACTGACACTCCTGTGTGCTGAGAGTATACAAAATTAATTCAAAATTTAAGATTTGCTTTTCAAACGAGAAGTTAACAACTAATAATTGTCTGTTATTTGAGATGCACAACATTATCAAAATTACTTACTTACTTACAGAGAATACATTCAAATTTTCATCAACAGTTTTTAGTCTAATTCCAGAGCACCTCTGTGATGAATTCAATTTAAATCAGATTTTTTTTAAGATATCAGAAATGGGCTAATAATAGATACCGGTAATCAGTATGCATGTTTATCAACATTAAACTAATCATGTCTGTGTATTACCTCAATGAACCAAATGAATTATTATACAAATTAAGCAATTATTATGCATAGATTTAGGTCTGTATATTGTATCAGAGCGCACATGTACAAAGTTTCATTATAATGTGATGATTAATCTTAACTTAAAATTAGTGGAAAGCTGAAAAGTAAATTATTATGCAAATTAGGTAATTATTAGTTGATTAATATGCATTTTTACCCAAAATTAATAAGGTCTTTGCATTGTTCTAGAGCATCTATGCACCAAGTTTCATTGAAAAGTAATAGTTCCGAAGTAAAAGCTGAAAATTGATTAATTATGCATATTAGGTACGGTAATTAACATTTCACATATCTGTCTGTGCATTGTCCTATGTATCTATGCAAGTTTCATTAAAATATGATGATTAGAGTACCTGAGATATATGTGTAAACGCCAAAAATTGACTACCGTAAAATCTGTATTAGAAGCCATATCTCCAATAGAAGTCGCACCCATTTTTTTGGAATAATTGATAACCAAAAATTCATCATTTCTCATATGTGTAGATGCTTTGATAGAAACCGCATCCCCTCTGTTGCATTGTACCATTTTAATAGAAGCTGCGGTTTCTAATACAGATTTTACAGTTATTATTATGCAAATTAGGTTAATTATATGCACTGAATCAAATCTGTTCATTAGTCCAGAGCATCTATGTACCAAGTTTCATCAAAATCCAATGAAGGGCTCTTTATATATCTGGAACAGTCATGGAACAGCTAAAAATTAGCTAATTATCATGCAAATTAGGTAATTTATATGTATGGGTTTCAACAAAAACCTAATCAAATCTGCGCATTAGCCCAGAACATATGCAACACACACACACACACACATACACAGATACAGACAGGCTAACTGCAAAGACTCCCATTGTGTGCTTTGCACACAGGAGTCAAAAATTAAAATAGGTGTTTGTATGGACGGTGGACACAATATACCGTATTACCCCAGGCACGCAGGGCGCGCCCACCCCCTGTTTTCACAAAAGTTACATGTTGGGGACATCCTCTGTTAAATGCCCAGGGTGATTTTTAGCCAAGAACGGGGTCAACAATAAAGTTTTATTTGTCAAAAACGAACGCGTTCGATTCATTTAAATAGTGTGTTTGTTACGGTAGTTCTCTTTTTGGAGTGTGTGGTGGCCCTGAACAGGGTCGCTTTGTTTGTGTTTTTACATAAAAACTCATTGGAACTTAACGACCTAAGATGAACCACGCAGCATGTGGCGCACACGTTCTGCTTTCTCTTCATTCACGATGAATCCAATATTGCAACGATCCATACCTTGGTGAGTGGTTTGAAGCACTTAGCTTTGGTTTCAAAACGTAGCATTTCGCTGACTGTGAATCCATAACGGCAGCTAGCACTTTTGAGACATCACGTCGTAAACTTGCTACTTTCTTTCTATCCTTCATCACAGCATGTGAATTATTTTTCTGTCGTTGAAGAAAAAACATTTTGCCGACCTCAAGTCCATTACGATAACCATAATGAGGCATGCCGACGATGAGAACTTGTTGCATCATCGTTATTTTTGTAATTTTGTCACGTCTGGGTGTGTGAATAAATCATGTTAATGAGGTCGCCCAGAATTTATTTTCAGTCTGTTTTTTATGTATCGCCATTTGGATATGTTTATGTATTCACAATAGTTTGTAAACATTTCACATCAGTAATAAAAGGTTTATTTGTTTCATAACCCTGTCTGCTATTCTTCAGTACTTACGATGCGATGTATCAATACGTGCGTGAACAAAATTATGCTAATGAGGTCATCGCCATCTTGGATTACAAGCAGTAGTTTTTCCCGGTCGTTTCGACTTGCACTGATCACGGTTACCGGTACTAAAAAAGTAACCGTGCATTGATTACAATACTAACCATACTTTGTAGCCAATTTCAGTGAGTAATACAACTTCATTCGCTGACATAAAACAAGTTTTATTCTTGAAATTCAACCCTGTGTCTTAGTGTTCCCACAGTTCTTGCCCGAGTGCTCACATTTAT